AGAATTATATGAACATGTTTGCTGATGATGCTAAGATAATAGGAAGGATAAGAAATTTAGATGATTGTCATGTCCTTCAAGAAGACCTGGACAAAATAAGTATATGGAGCACCACTTGGCAAATGGAATTTAATGTTAATAAATGTCATGTTATGGAATGTGGAATAGGAGAACATAGACCCCACACAACCTATATATTATGTGAGAAATCTTTAAAGAATTCTGATAAAGAAAGAGATCTAGGAGTGGTTCTAGATAGAAAACTATCACCTGAGGACCACATTAAGAATATTGTGCAAGGAGCCTATGCAATGCTTTCTAACTTCAGAATTGCATTTAAATACATGGATGGCGATATACTAAAGAAATTGTTCATGACTTTTGTTAGGCCAAAGCTAGAATATGCAGCTGTTGTGTGGTGCCCATATCTTAAGAAGCACATCAACAAACTGGAAAAGGTGCAAAGACATGCTACTAAGTGGCTCCCAGAACTGAAGGGCAAGAGCTACGAGGAGAGGTTAGAAGCATTAAATATGCCAAAACTAGAAGACAGAAGAAAAAGAGGTGATATGATCACTACGTACAAAATAGTAACAGGAATTGATAAAATCGACAGGGAAGACTTCCTGAGACCTGGAACTTCAAGAACAAGAGGCCATAGATTTAAACTAGCTAAACACAGATGCCGAAGAAATATAAGAAAATTCACCTTCGCAAATAGAGTGGTAGACGGTTGGAACAAGTTAAGTGAGAAGGTGGTGGAGGCCAAGACCGTCAGTAGTTTCAAAGCGTTATATGACAAAGAGTGCTGGGAAGACGGGACACCACGAGCGTAGCTCTCATCCTGTAACTACACTTAGGTAATTACCATGGTGCCTCTGTGGATTGTGCTGTCAACACTTACTCAAACCTCTTATACTACACTTCCTGTCACTAATATCAACTGGGAGGCTGAATTAGGTGACATAGTGAACATCAACCTAGCATTGCAAACATTTCTTCAGAAAACTCTGTCACTAATCAACTATGTATGTACTTTCCTGAATAAAATTTACTTTACTTTACTTTACTATTTAATTCTTAGTATAAATGTAACATCTTAGCTTTATATTACACTAGACAGTATATCAACATAGCATATTTAACTAGCTAGGAGCACCAAATACTCTTGCATCTGGCAGGGATTAACAACTGGCCATTTCTTATTTGATGTGAGTAAACTGTCTAAATTACTTTAAAAGATTCAAAAGCTCCTTTCTTCTTAAAACCTATATAACTAACCCTATAATATTCCCAATTATAGTCTAATAACATGGAGGGCCTATCACAATAAGAAATAGCCTAAAGGTTTCTTACATTCTCTAGTTAATCAACCAGGTCTACCACACTCCATAAGATCCTGGCTCCTATATGCAAACAATAGGAGCTAGAGTTGTAACACACACAAACCTTAAACCACTAAGTAATTACTAGGCCACGATATGCTAGAAGTAATGTAACCTGGGATTCAAATGACTTCTCTAGGGTTCCTGATGTATTTTTTTTTTATCTCAAATCAGGGTTTTACACATTACCCACATACACTCTGGCAGTGGCGTAGGAGTTCTACCCTCAAGACTTCTCTTAAAATACACAAAGAAGTCACATTAACGTGATGTATTAATGAGAAAATCATTAGGAGCCATGAGGAGGATTTGAACCTGCACACAGAATACTCTCAAGCACATGCCTTAAACCACTAGGAGGAAACCACCTGGAGAAAAACGATATAATATCAGACAGTATGGTTTTCGATCTGGAAGATCCTGTGTAACGAATTTACTCAGTTTCTATGATCGAGCCTCAGAGATTTTACAGGAAAGAGATGGTTGGGTTGACTGCATCTATCTGGACCTAAAAAGGGCTTTTGACAGAGTTCCGCATAAGAGGTTATTCTGGAAACTGGAACATATTGGAAGGGTGACAGGTAACCTTCTAACATGGATGAAAAATTTCCTAACCGATAGAAAAATGAGGGCCATAATCAGAGGCAATGTATCGGACTGGAGGAATATCACAAGTGGAGTACCACAGGGTTCAGTTCTTGCACCGGTAATGTTCATTGTCTACTTAAACGATGTACCAGATGGAATACAGAATTACAGTATATGAACATGTTTGCTGATGATGCTAAGATAATAGGGAAGATAAGAAACCTAGATTTTTGTCATGCTCTTCAAGAAGACCTGGACAAAATAAGTATATGGAGCACTACTTGGCAAATGAAATTTAATGTGAATAAATGACATGTTAGGGAATGTGGATTGGAGAACATAGACACCACACAACCTATAAATTATTTGAGAAATCTTTAAAGAATTCTGATAAAGAAAGGGATCTAGGGGTGGTTTTAGATAGAAAACTATCACCTGAGAATCACATTAGGAACATTGTACGAGGAGAATATCTACACTTTCTAACTTTAGAATTGCTTTTAAATACATGGATGGCGAAATACTAAAGAAATTGTTCACGACTTTTGTTAGACCAAAGCTAGAATATGCAGCTGTTGTGTGGTGCCCATATCTTAACACTTTCGCGCTAACCGGACTCACCGGTGAGTCCTGTTTCGTCTAACGCTAACGCATAGTGGACATAAAGTTATGTCCTCTTTTAAAATATTTGTATAAAATTCAATTTTTATCCGATTTACTTTGGGTTTGTTTCAAACTGCGCGCCATGAGGCTCTCTTTCTCACCACTAGGCTGCATGGTACAATAAGTTCATGAAAGGTGTGGATAACTTCGATCAAATGGTATTAAAAGTATGTCCCAAACGGGTTGCAGGTGGGTGACTTTAGCCGTTATACTGGTAATGCTTCCCCCATATCATGTATTATATGCATATGTCTGTTTAGGGAATTTTATTCCGATCAATATACAACCAAAAATAACTGTGTGCAACAAGTATAAACTTGACAAACATAACAAAAGTAAAAACATTTCGTGTGTGTTTGACGCTCACTGATATGTTCCAGCGTTGTTTTATATTTGGCGCTATTCTAACTTACGCTTTGTTGATCTTTTTTACCTATGGGCTCATAGAACATTCTATTGCGAAAACATTGACACAAAAATGAATGACGTACATAGAAAATTAATGTCATGAGAGTGAAATAAGTATAAACTTTCAAAGCGCCGTGCGTCATCCCGTCACCGATACCGGGTAACAATTTCACCACTTCCCACACTCCTGCGGGCGGGCCGCATCATTATTCTATGCTTATATTCATATCACCGTGTTGGGAATTTCATTGCGAGTCCATTGATACCAAAATTAACGCTGTAGAACAAGTGTGGAGGTGATTACAATCCCAAGAGTAAAAACATTTTGTTGCTGTTGGGCGCTCACGGCGAGTCATCTTCGTAGTTATTTATTTGGTGCTGGTATCCCTATACGTTTCGTGACTTTTTTTACTGATGTTCTTCTAGAGAATTTTATTGCGAACACGTTGGTACCAAAATGAAATACGTAGCATGAGAACTAAGGTCAGAAGAGTAAAAAGAGTATACACATTTTTGTTTTTACGCTTAAGCGATAAAAAAGCTGCGCGCACATACGGTTGGCTGAGTGACCTTCGCGGAGAGCGCGAAAGTGTTAAGAAGCACATCAACAAACTGGAAAAAGGTGCAAAGACATGCCACTAAGTGACTCCCAGAACTGAAGGACAAGAGCTATGAGGAGAGGTTAGAGGCATTAAATATACGAAAACTAGAAGATAGAAGAAAAAGAGGCGATATGATCACTACGTACAAAATAGTAACAGGAATCAATAAAATTGATAGGGAAGAATTCCCGAGACCCGGAACTTCAAGAACAAGAGGTCATATATTTAAACAAACGAAACAAAGCTGCCGGAGAAATATAAGAAAATTCACTTTTGTAAACAGAGTGGTAGACGGTTGGAACGTCTAAGGGTGGAGAGGGTTAGGTGAGAGGATAGTGGAGGCCAAAACCATCAGTAATTTCAAAGGGTTATATGACAAAGAATGCTGGGAAGAAGGGACACCACAAGCATAGCTCACATCCTGTAACTACACTTAAGTAATTACTTAGGTAATTACTAGGGCACGATATGCTAGAAGTATTGTAACCTGTGGCTATGGTATAAGAGTTGTACCCGCAATGGGGTGACCAGATATCTTCCAAAGCCAACAGAAGGATATGTCAATGATGGCCCACTCCATGAAAAATGGATGGAAACAACAGAGACTGTCCATGACAATATTGGTCACGCCTCACGCATGAACTGTGCTGAGAACCAAACCCTGAGAACCCAGGAGCAGAGTTTCTCTAATTCGGCTCCAAAGAGGGAAGGACAGACAGGAAACTAAAACTCTCATTATGTTTTCCCATATACCAAATAATTGCCCGAGGTCTCTAGTATTGATTGACATCCACATAAAATCGGTGGGACTTTTGAATATTACAGGGTGCATCTAGTCTCCCACAGGTGATTGATGTACAGGCACCTATTGTTTGAGGGTGACATTAGCAATTAAAGTTTTAAAGTGTGTAATGAGTTTGGAAGTTCTGCACATTACAATTTTAAGCATATCATATAATGGCTTGTAGCTTCAAGCTACAATTCTTGTTTCAGGTCATTGTCTGGTAAGCTTGGTTTCAGGCTAAAGTTTGCATGTTTGAGTAACAACTTTCCGAAGGCAGAATCTGGCTTATTGTAAATTAACCTGCCAAAACTTAACCTAATCAGCCTGTCTTTGTATATACTTGTCAGCTGAACATGGCCTGTTGTGTCTAGTATATGATCAATCTATTTCTGTATACCATACCATACTGTATTCTGTTATACACAGGTACATAATTATTCCAAAGTAATCAGAGTATCTTAATACTCTGATGCTAAATAGTCTTCCAAGCTTGGCAACTTTATACTAGTTATTCAAAATTTTGATACATTAATTTAAGCAATGTGATCCTAAGTAAACATTACTTTCCAGAACGTGCCTTGGTTGTATGTCGTGGCAAGAATATTTTACCAAGATGAAGGTCAACATGAAGCTGCTGCCTATTAAGGCACACTACTTCTTGATTTTTGCAGGTGTGTTGTATATGTGGTACGATGCACTGAGCACACATTTCTTAATTAAGAATCGTTATCCCCTTGAAACCTTGAAAATATAATACTGAAACTTTTGATTTCTTATTTTGATAATTATCATATTTCTGGGGGGAGCCCCGTCGGCTCCCCGGAGCTATCCCAGGCTGATATGCTAATGTCAGACTTTGGCATCAGTCATGTGTATGGAGTTCTTAGGCCTACCGGGGACCACGGCCAGAACCGGGCCCCCTCAGAGAGGCAAGGGGAGCAATGGCCTATAGAAGCCCCCGTGTAGTTGGAAGCATTCTATGTCTGCCATCGACCGGAACAGGCACCCAGAAAGGTAAGCGCCCCAAAACAAACCCCTATTCTGGTTAAAATTGCTACCAAAAACCGAACTAGTGGATAGAACTCCCCAACCGAAAACAAGCAAACTAGTGTGACGTCACACACTGCCGCGCCTCTGTCTGCGCAGCTCCCCCCTCCCCGGGAGGGGGAAGGGGGAGCCCCAGACCCCCCGCGCCGGCTACCCACACCTCAGTTCTTGAGGCTGGATGTCAAAAACGCGAAAAACCGCCGACCGGAGGGAGGGAGGGATGCCGGGGAGCCTCCGGGACTCACCCAGAAAATGGCGTTTCATTACATTCAACGCTGGTTTTCTAGGGGGAGCCCCGTCGGCTCCCCGGAGCTAACTACCCACAGACAGAAAAAGAAGGACTTACCCGGGAGGCGGTCGTCGCTCACCCCTCAACTCGAAGCCGAGACAACTGGCTGCAACCGCCGACCCAAAGCAACACAGGCCCGACGAGGCCCAGGGACATTCACAAGGTAACGAGCAGCCAAACCCTGTTCGACCGCCAAAATCCCCGCGCCCGAATATCAGACCAAGACATATTCCCAAAGACGGCAGCAAGAGCCGCGAACTTACGAACGTCATGGGCACGGGGATAGACCGCAGGCTGGCTGGACCTAATAACCCTGCGGACGACCTGAGAGACCCGAACCCGCGAACAGGGAAGAAGGGAAACCGGATCAACCCACAGCGCGTCCCCGGACACAGAAGCTGTGGCGCGCAAATAACGGCGAAGCGCCGCAACCGGACACAAAACATGATGCACCCCCGGCCTGACCAACCAAGCATCAACCACCCATGGACCCCTCCAGAACGCAGCAGTCTCATTCTTCGCCAGAAAAGAAGGAGACGGCTGCAAACGAAAATACTGCACAGAAAAAATATAATATACAGTACTGTATACTCTTGGGATATAATAATCTTGGGAAGGTGTGCACTTGTATGAGAGGGTGCACATGTTAAGGAAATGTGTTTACTTAAGAAGCGAGCTTTTTTTCTTAATTAAATCCTTTGCTGCATTAGTTACAATCGTGTGACTGATAAAAAGTAGTTTGCAGTGGTAAATCAGGTTTATCCCCATGTGATTTGAAAAATAGATTCTAAAACAAAAATTTTGACCAGAAATCTGTTTCTCAGAGCTAGAATTTGGGTCCAGTAGGTGTTGCCGTCTGTTGACATGAAATGGAAACATTATGCCATGAAGTAGTGTATCTAAAAATCCAGCGTATAACGTAATGAAACGCCTCTTTTTGGGTGAACTGCAGTGGCTCCTTAAAGCTATCTCACAGAGATGATTCCCAATTACTAGAGTGTATCAGCCATAGAGTTCAGTACTGTACTCACAGATGAGTACTGGCATGCCCTTTTTTTAATCCCAAAGGGACTGGTTAGGTTTTGTGGTTGGACATTAGGTTTACCACTGCAATGTCTTCCCTTTTGGGAAGGGAAGATTCCCCCCCCCCCCCCCCCCCACCCCACAAGGTGGGCTGTGGTCCCTGTCAGTTTGGAGCTGGTTGCTTCTTGTAGTTCATCTGCTGGGTTCTAGGGGGGGTTTGCACTCTGTGCTGTTCATGTTCTGGGAATGTCCAACATCCTGGCTGACAGACTGTCCCAGTTAATTCCTGCCGAATGAATTGCGTCTACCTCTTATGCAGCGGCGTTTTTCAACTGCGAGGCCCTGGCGGTGGGTGCCTTTCGACTGGACTGGTTGAGTTGGGGGTTCCTGTCCCTTTTCTCCTGGTCCAGCTGTTGCTCCGGGTGCTGGCGCTGATGGAGTTCTACTGGGTAAAGGTGGTCCTTCTGGCTTCTTGATCGGCCCAACCTTGGTTTCGGGTGCTGCTTGCTCATTTCTGACAAGGGCATTTTTTCTGCGGCTCAGTCTTTTCAGTGTTGGGCTGGTGACGTACTTCGCCGGTTTGACCTTGTCCTCTACTTCGTGTCAAATTTTGACGCTTGGAGTTCCACCATCTCTTTGGTGATCAGGTGGCTGGTTAATGGTGGCTCGCCTGCAGTCCTCCCGATGTCAGTTTATCCTGGCTTGGCGTGGCTTCCTTTATTTTATCCTTTAAAATAAAAACTCCCTGTTGTGGGAGTTCTGTGGCAGTTGTGAGGCTGCAGTCTCGTTTCTAACCATGCAGTTGTCTATTTTTGTTTCGCTGACTTTATGGGTACATTTCCTGGTGGTGGCAGTCATGAATAACTTTAAATGTAAGGTGTTCATAGTGCCACCACTCTGTGTGCTTCTATGAGTGGGGCCAGGTTCTGTCTCGTGGTCCCCAGTAGGCCAATAAGAACTCCGTGACTGATGGCATCTAGTAGTATGGTACTAAATCAGTGAAATGGCTTCGGGAAGTCACCAGGGTTCACCCAGAAGTTGGCATTTCATTACATTCAGTGCTGGTTTCTTTGTACCACAACTAGCATAATTCATATTTCTACAGACAAACTCCTGCCATTTACTTGACTAATTCTGCCAGTTACCTGCATACTCCCTACCATTTACCTGGCTACTTCTGCTGTTTACTCCAAAATGATGAGTATAACTTATTAACCTGAATAGGAATTCAGGTTAAAACATCAAGAACTTGAAAGCAAATTCATTTACACTACAGGAATTCAAATTACCAAGCTCTTACCATTCACATTGTCATTCTATGGGAATGGCACTCACATTCTACTGTATTATATATAATATACTGATTACTTACAAGACGATCAATTGTTGTTATTTTAATGTGTATCCTTGTTTACTACCCCAGGCACAGCTCCCATCCTGCCTTTCTTACCAGTTTACGCTCGACAACAGGGAATCTCCCCGGCTGGCATCGGACTAATGTACACTGTTCTACCCTTTGTTGGACTCATTGTTAAGACAGCATCCGGAGCGCTCTCAGATTGGTTAAGGATTCATCGTAGTATGTTTTTGTCTTCTATTGTCATATGTGCACTTGGTTTTTTCAGGTAGGTTGAAAGACATATACGGTAGTACTTTACAGTATTTAATTTATCCTTCTCTGGTTTCTCTAAATCCATCACATTCCCTCTAAACGCCCCTTCTCTTACCTCCCTTCCCTCTCCCCACCCCTTCTCTCACCTCCCTTCCCTCTCCCCACCCCTTCTCACTTCCCTTCCCTCTCCCCACCCCTTCTCTCACCTCCCTTCCCTCTCCCCACCCCTTCTCACTTCCCTTCCCTCTCCCCATCCCTTCTCATTTCCTTTCCCTCTCCCCACCCCTTCTCACTTTCCTTCCCTCTCCCCAGACCTTCTCACTTTCCTTCCCTCTCCCCAGACCTTCTCACTTTCCTTCCCTCTCCCCACCCCTTCTCACTTTCCTTCCCTCTCCCCACCCCTTCTCACTTTCCTTCCCTCTCCCCAGACCTTCTCACTTTTCTTCCCTCTCCCCAGACCTTCTCACTTTTCTTCCCTCTCCCCAGACCTTCTCACTTTCCTTCCCTCTCCCCACCCCTTCTCTCACCTCCCTTCCCTCTCCCCACCCTTCTCACTTTCCTTCCCTCTCTCCATCCCTTCTCATTTCCTTTCCCTCTCCCCACCCCTTCTCACTTTCCTTCCCTCTCCCCAGACCTTCTAACTTTCCTTTACTTCCATTTCAATCTCCCTTCCCCTCCCCATCTCTTTTATTTCCCTTCACCACCCTTTCTCTCTCCTCTACCGTCCCTTTTCTCACTCTTTCTCCTTAGTTCTCCTCTCATCTCTCCTCCCCGTCAGCTCGCCGCTCATCCCCTCTAGCCTCCCTTCTTCTCCCCGCCCCTTACCCCTTTGCCTCCCATCCCCACCTCGACACCCCTTTACCACCACTTCCCCTTTCGCTATTTCTCGCCCACTCTTGTCATCCCTTCCATCTGCTCCCCACCCCCTTCTCTCTTCCCTTCCATATCCTCCCCACCCCTTTTCTCTTCCCTTCCATATCCTCCCCACCCCTTCTCTCTTCCCTTCCATATCCTCCCCACCCCTTCTCTCTTCCCTTCCATATCCTTCCCACCCCTTCTCTCTTCCCTTCCATATCCTCCCCACCCCTTCTCTCTTCCCTTCCATATCCTCCCCACCCCTTCTCTCTTCCCTTCCATATCCTCCCCACCCCTTCTCTCTTTGCTTCCATATCCTCCCCACCCCTTCTCTCTTCCCTTCCATATCCTCCCCACCCCTTCTCTTCCCTTCCATATCCTCCCCACCCCCTTCTCTCTTCCCTTCTATCTCCTCCCCACCTCTTCTTCTTCTCCCTTTCCATCTCCTCCCCATCCCTTCTCTTCTTTCCCTTTGTCTCCTCCCCACCCCTTCTCTCTTCCCTTCCATATCCTCCCCACCCCTTCTCTCTTCCCTTCCATATCCTCCCCACCCCTTCTCTTCCCTTCCATATCCTCCCCACCCTCCCCACCCAGTAAATAGGTACCTGGGAGTTAAGTCAGCTGTCACGGGCTGCTTCCTGGGGGTGGAGGCCTGGTCGAGGACCGGGCCGCGGGGACACTAAAGCCCCGAAATCATCTCAAGGTAACCTCAAGATAACCCCCTTCTCTCTTCCCTTCTATCTCCTCCCCACCTCTTCTTCTTCTCCCTTTCCATCTCCTCCCCATCCCTTCTCTTCTTTCCCTTTGTCTCCTCCCCACCCCTTCCCTTCCCTTCCTTTCTCCTCCTTTCCATCTCCTCCCCATCCTTATTATTCCCCTCCTTTCCGTCTCCTCCCCACCCCTTCTCTTCCCATCCATCTCCTCCCCACCCCTTCTCTTCCTTTCCATCTCCTCCCCACCCCTTCCCTTCCATCTCCCCACCCCTTCTCTTCCCTTCATCTCCTCCCCACCCCTTCTCTTCCCTTCATCTCCTCCCCACCCCTTCCCTTCCCTTCCTTTCTCCTCCTTTCCATCTCCTCCCCATCCTTACTATTCCCCTCCTTTCCATCTCTTCCCCACCCCTTCTCTTCCCTTCCATCTCCTCCCCACCCCTTCTCTTCCCTTCCATCTCCTCCTCACCCTTTCTCTTCTCGAACGTTTCTTTCCATCTCTCCACACCATCTCTTCCATTTTTTTTCCTCATATCTCCTCTGCATCCATTATCTCCTCTTCAATCCCCACCTATTCTCTTCCTTTCATTTCCCTGTCTCATCTCCATTTCTCTCCCCTCGCATTTCCTCCCCCCACACCTTTCAACCCGTTTACACCCCTTGTTTCAATTCCCCACTTCTTTCACTTCCATTTTTTCCCTCATTTCCCCACCTCATTTCTTTATTCCATCTGCCCATACTTCTCACCCCCTCTACCCTTTCCTTCCCATCTGCTTATATTATTTCCCTTCCCTTCCTTTGCTACCCCCTTCTCTCATTCAAACCCCTCTCCTGCCCACCCCCACCCATCCTGGTAGACAAGGAGTCGGCTCGGGTCTGGTGTATGTACATAAGGCATGGCTTAACCAGTGTTTAGCTACGGGGAGCTGCTGCAGCTCCCCCCACCATAACACATTTCAATGCATTCAGCACTTGATTTAAGAATATTTAATAATGTAGTTTGCATATACTGTACTGTAAAATGTGCCTGGCATAGGGAACAATTGATATTATCCTCTCTCAACTACAAATCTATACTATAAGAAAGAATGTACGTCTCGGCCAACTTTGCAGGGAAAATGGTCAGGGCAGGCTCAAGTTAAATGCTTTAAGAAATATTGGCATTTATTTAACTCATCAAATGTGCACGTCATTCACGAACAATCACCCCATTTCTGACCCCACTGCACAAGTCAGTGAGGTTTGATTTAAAGAACCACCATGGAAAAAGTTGTGGGCACCCCTCCTGGGTGTGAGGGTCTCTATTGAGAGGGCGACTGTATGTAGCACATGTTGCAGCAGCTCCCAGCACCACCATGCTGCAGCAGCTCCCGGCACCACCATGCTGCAGCAGCTCTCAGCACCACCATGTTGCAGCAGCTCCCAGCACCACCATGTTGCAGCAGCTCCCAGCACCACCATGCTGCAGCGGCTCCCAGCACCACCATGCTGCAGCAGCTCCCAGCACCACCATGTTGCAGCAGCTCCCAGCACCACCATGTTGCAGCAGCTCCCAGCACCACCATGCTGCAGCAGCTCCCAGCACCACCATGCTGCAGCGGCTCCCAGCACCACCATGTTGCAGCAGCTCCCAGCACCACCATGCTGCAGCAGCTCCCAGCACCACCATGCTGCAGCAGCTCCCGGCACCACCATGCTGCAGCAGCTCCCAGCACCACCATGCTGCAGCAGCTCCCGGCACCACCATGTTGTAGCAGCTCCCAGCACCACCATGCTGCAGCAGCTCCCAGCACCACCATGTTGCAGCAGCTCCCAGCACCACCATGCTGCAGCAGCTCCCAGCACCACCATGCTGCAGCGGCTCCCAGCACCACCATGTTGCAGCAGCTCCCGGCACCACCATGTTGCAGCAGCTCCCAGCACCACCATGCTGCAGCAGCTCCCAGCACCACCATGTTGCAGCAGCTCCCAGCACCACCATGCTGCAGCAGCTCCCAGCACCACCATGCTGCAGCGGCTCCCAGCACCACCATGTTGCACGGCTCCCAGCACCACCATGTTGCAGCAGCTCCCAGCACCACCATGCTGCAGCAGCTCCCAGCACCACCATGTTGCAGCAGCTCCCAGCACCACCATGCTGCAGCAGCTCCCAGCACCACCATGCTGCAGCGGCTCCCAGCACCACCATGTTGCAGCGGCTCCCGGCACCACCATGTTGCAGCAGCTCCCAGCACCACCATGCTGCAGCAGCTCCCAGCACCACCATGTTGCAGCAGCTCCCAGCACCACCATGTTGCAGCAGCTTCCAGCACCACCATGCTGCAGCGGCTCCCAGCACCACCATGCTGCAGCAGCTCCCGGCACCACCATGCTGCAGCAGCTCTCAGCACCACCATGCTGCAGCAGCTCCCAGCACCACCATGTTGCAGCAGCTCCCAGCACCACCTTGCTGCAGCGGCTCCCAGCACCACCATGCTGCAGCGGCTCCCAGCACCACCATGCTGCAGCAGCTCCCGGCACCACCATGCAGCTTGTACCCACAGCATTACTTAAAATTGAAGAAATAAATAAAAGCTGCATTTATTTTGCCATGATGTTGTCATAGAAGATCCTGACTATGAAAAAGACTAAGTACAACGTTCATTTATAAGGGAAGACAATGCTGGATATGACAACCTGTCCTGTTACAAATTACAGTACGTCTGAATTTGGCCGTTTGCCCGTATGGCCGAAAATGGACGTAATTTGAATTTTTTTTTTCTCTCCAAAACAGTAAGTTAAGGGTCTTTAACTTAAGGGTTAGGTAGGGTAGGAAATTCTCCTAAAGTTTCAAAACGTCATGGAAAAACATTAATTAAAAGTTTCCTCTCCTAACCTTTCCAAGTAAGCCGGAGGACTCAGATTAAGTATCCACTCGATTTAACGGCCTACATAACGAACCCAAAGGTCTTCTCGTGGCTCTGCCTCTTTCAGCAGTTTGGTCCAGCCCGGTACGAGGCTGGTTCGTTCTTCTCCTCGAGTCTTCGCATCGCGTTTCTGACTCGAGTTTCTCATCGCTTGTTTGGGGCACAGATGGCTTTGTTGTTGGTCTCCCACCTGCGTGCTTCGTCTTTGCAACAGTATGAAGTTTCCTGGCAGTCCTTCCAGTTTTCCTATCACTGCGTAGGCGTACTTCGGTCTCTGATAGGGTTGTCTTGTCCTTCCTTTCGTGGTTGTTCCAGAACAGTCATCTGATGCTGCATACAGTCGCCTCGTATAGTGCGGAGCTAGCGGAGCCGCTTCGGCTTGCATTCAATGTTGATGTTACTTCTGCCCCGTTCTGCAAGCTGTCTTGTGCGTTCTTTCGCCCCCGGCCTGCTCCGGCGCCTCCTGAGCCGTCCTAGTCCTTGGACCGGGTGCTCTCTTGTTTCTCTTCTCGGTTTGTGGTGGCACCTTTGGTTCAGGTTTGTTTCTCCAAGGCTCTTTTCCTGTTGGCGTTGGCCTTTGGGGGTCAGGTTGGGGACCTTCATGCTCTTCTCCGGCGCAGAGGCTTCTGCTCCTTTGGTTCTCCTGGTGGTCATTTTTTTCGCTTGCAGTTGTCTCCTTTTCAGGAGTAGAATGAGTCTGCTGCTTTCCGGAGGGGGTCCTTGGGTTGTTGATGCTTGGTTGGTCAGGCTGGTGGTGCATCATGTGTTGTGTTCGGTTGCAGCTCTCTGCTGTTCGCTGCACCTCTTGGCTTCTGTGGCCGTGGGGCGTTTTGGATTGCCCGAGTTCCTTCCATTTATACTAACTCTGTCTTGGAAATCACAGATTTACATTACAGTATTCATAATTTATTAAAATAATTAACATATACGCAAAGTGCATAAAACGATTAGAAGAGATGATAGATGATAACCCAGGTGTGGGTTATCATGTTCCTTCCTTCCTGTTCCGGGGTTTGAGTCTCCCGGGTCATCTGTTTGGTCCTTCGGTTTGCCGGTTGTCTTGTTTTTGAGTTAAGGCACGTGGCATCCGCCTCCTGGGTCCTTCCCTCTTTACCTTATCTTTGGAGAGGTAGCTCCCCCGGAAAACCAGCGTTGAATGAAATGAAACAGCATTTTCTGGGTGAGACCCGGAGGCCCCTCGGCATCCCTCCCTCCCTCCCTCCCTCCAGTAGGTGGTGTTTTCGCGTGTTTTTCACATCCAGCCTAAGAACTGCCTGCTGGATTGTCAGCACAGGGGGGTCTGGGGCTCCCCCTTTCCCCTCCCGGGAAGGAGGGGGTGGTTGCGCAGACGGCGGCGTGGTGATGTGATGATGTCATGCTAGATTGCTGCCAGAAAGTTATACATATCCATTCAGCCTGGATAGCTCTGGGGAGCCTCCGGGTCTTGCCCAGAAAATGGGGTTTCATTACATTCAACGCTGGTTTTTTTACGCTGGTTTATAACCATTTGTATGGTGATCAGATGACTTTGTTGATGGTGTCCCACCTGAGAAGTTCGTCTCTGCGACAGCATGAACTTTCCTGGCATTTTTTCTGCCATTTTCTCTCTCTTCGTAGGTTGTTTTCTATTTCGGATCGGGTTGTCTTGTCATTTCTGTCTTGACTTTTTCCAGGACTGTCATTTGATGCCTAATACTGTCGCTTAGCATTGTACAGTGCTGGCAGAGCCGGCAGCTTGCATTTCGAGAGGATGTCTCTTCTGCCCCATTCAATAAGCTTTCTTGGGATTTGTTTCACATCTGGCCTGCTCATGCACTGCCTGAGCCATCCTGGTCCTTGGACAGGGTGCTTTCCTATCTTTCCTCTCCTCGGTTTGGGGTGGCCCCTTTGGTTCAAGATTGTTTTTCCAAGGCACTCTTTTTGTTGGCACTGGCCTCTGGGGGGTCGAGTCGGGGAGCTGCATGCTCTCCTCCGGCTCAGGGGTTTCTGCTCCTTCGGTCCTAGTTGTTCAGTTGCAGCTTTCTCCTTTTCTGGCGAAGAACGAGGCGGCTGCTTTCCAGATGGGTTCTTGGGTCATTGATACTTGGTTGGTCAGGCCGGGGGTGCATCATGTGTTGTGTCCAGTTGAGGCTCTGTGCCGTTATCTGCTCGCTTCAGCTTCGTAGGCTAGGGATGCACTTTAAGTTGATCCAGTTTCCCTCGTTCCCTGTTCCAGGGCTCGGGTCTCCCAGGTCATCCACATGGTTATCAAGTCTAGCCAACCTGCAGTGTATCCTCCTGCCCATGACATTAGGAAGTTTGCTGCATTGGCTTTCGTCTTTGGCAACATGACCTGGGCAGATATTTAGGCACTGGGATTTTGGAGGTCGAACAGGGTCCTGGCCACCCGTTATTTGGTTAATGTTCCTGCACATGGGCATTCCTGTGTTGCTTTGGGTCGCAGGTAGCAGTCAGTTGTCTCGACTTTACGTCGAGGAGTTTGTGGCGGCCGCCTTCCAGGAAAGTCCCTCTTTTCCTTATCTTTGGTTATGTAGCTCCAGGGAGCTGAAGGGGTTACCCACAGAAAACCAGCGTTGAATGTAATGAAATGCTATTTTCTGGGCGAGCCCCAGAGGTTCCCTGGCAACCCTCCCTCCCTCTGGTCGGCGATTTTTCGCCTTGTTTGATGCTTAGCCTCTGAACTAGAGTGCTGGGTAGCCGGTGTAGGGAGGGGAGGGCTGTGCGGATAAGCAGCATGGCAGCGGAGTGTAACGTTGGCTTGTTTGCTTGTTTCCTTGGGATTGGAGGGAGTTCTACCTCTCTTTTCGGTTTTAAGTTGTCATTTTCTTACCATGTGGGGTTTGTTTTGTTATGCCTACCTTTCTGGGTGCCTAACCCCAGTCGATGGCAGATAAGGAAAACCACCAACCATTGAAAAAACCCCAGGGCCATTGCTCCTTGCAATGACCCAGGCCCCTCTGGGGCCTGACGGCTGAGTGGACAGTGCTAGGGATTTGTAGTCCTAAGGTTCCAGGTTCGATTCCCAGTGGAGGTGGAAACAAATTGGCACAGTTTCTTTCACCCTGATGTCCCTGTTCACCTAGCAGTAAATATGTACCTGGGAGTTAAACAGCTGTTACAGGCTGCTTCCTAGGAGTGTGTTACAAAGAGCAGGCCTGGTCGAGGACTGGGCAGCGGGGACGTTAAGCTCCGAAATCATCTGAAGATAACCTCTAAGGGGGCCAGGTTCTGGCTAGTGGTCCCCGGTAGGTCGAACACCATAGACTAATGCCTCGGTCTAATATATCACACATTAGCCCAATAGCTCCATGGAGCCTTCAAGGCTCGCCCAGAAAATAGCGTTTCATTACATTCAACACTGGTTTTTTCATTTAACATCTCCAGGATGATTGCTGCTGCTACTACCAGACATGGTCTTGGGAAAAAATTATCAAAGTTACTATGAAAACAAAAAATGATTTAAGAAAAATGTTTCACTATTGGTGCAGCACTATGGTATAATGTGAGGGTCGAGTGCACATGGTGTGGACGGGTCCACTTGTGGCAGGCAGGCACGTTATATAAGTTGTCAGGTGGAAAAAACCAGCATTGAATGTAATGAAACCCCATTTTCTGGGTGAGTCCTGGAAGCTCCCCAGAGCTATCCAGGCTGATATGTATCTCTTTAGAATATGGTATCAGTCAATGTGGGTGGAGTTCTAGGCCTACCGGGGACCATGAGCCAGAACCTGGCCCCCCCTCAGAGAGGCATGAGTAGCACTCGTGTCCAGAAAGGCACCCAGAAAGATAGGTGCTCCAAAACAATCCCCTGTTCTGATTAAAAACAATGAAAATAGACAAATGAGTGGACAGAACTCCCCAACTGAAAACGAAAATAACGTCCCACGAGCCGCGCTGCATGTCTGCGCAGCTCCCCTCTCCCCGGGTGGGGGAAGGGGGAGCCCTAGACCTCCGTGCCGGCAATCCACACCCCAGTTCACTAAGGCTGGATATTAAAGTACGCAAAAAAAACACTGACCGGAGGGAGGGAGAGTTGCCGGGGAGCCCTCAGGACTCGCCCAGAAAATGGCATTTCATTACATTCAATGCTGGTTTTCTGGGGGGGAGCCCCTATGGCTCCCCGGAGCTACTTCACCAAAGACGAAAAAGGAAAGGGACCTACCCGGGAGACGGTCGATGCTCACATCTCAACTCAAAATCGAGACAACAGGCTGCAACCGCCGACCCAAAGCAACACAGGCCCAACTAGGCCCAGGGAGACGAAGACGAAGCATGCAGGTGGGTCACCATCAACGAAGCCACCTGATCACCAAACAGATGGTAAGAGACTCAAGTCAAAATTACCAGACTGGAAGACTTGAGGAGAAGACCGAACCAGCCCCATTACACACCAGACCGATCAGTTGAAAGAGACGGAGCCGTGGGAAAACCCTTGGGCTTAGACATCGAGCAAGCAGCGCCCGAAACCAAGGTGGGCAAGGAACCAGAAGGAAAGTCCGCCAGGGACTTCCCCTCCCCCCCCTCTGCTAGTAATAAATACGTGCCAATACATTAGTTTTATATGATACTTTTCTGCTTGAGTCTAATTACTTCGTATTCCAGATATGATAATTATTAAATTACGGGCATTGTTAGTTGATAATACAGTATTTGTAAAATGTGGGCTACAGTATTGATTTTATCTTACAGCATCTACTTCACCCCAGCTGTGCCGCAGAACCCAAACCATAATTTAGCTCACGTTAAATTTCACTGCAATGATTCCACGTCTGTCTTCAAATACTGTTTTTCCAAAAATAAATGTGGTCAGAATGATTTTCTTAATAACATCTCTGACAATTATACAACAACCTGTCAGGTGAGGAAATTACTCAAATTGTTACTTACCATGTTTTTGGCTTTCTCAAGCAATGCAAAAGTTTCCTCTACCATCTTTTATCCTCCATCTCTACTTCCTCTTCTTCTCCTCTCCTTTTCTGTTTTCTCTTCTAACATAAGAATAGTGGAAGCTGCAGAAGGCCAATTAACTTATACAAGACAGCTCCTATTTATATCCACCTAAACTCGTTCGTATATATGTATCCTACAGTTGAAACAATCCAATGATCCCACATCTATTATGCTACCTGGTAATTGGTTCCATAAGTTAACAACCTAGTTCCCAAAACAGTATCTTCTCAGATATCTGAATCTGAACTTCTCCAATTTGTATCCATTTGTTTCAAGTTCTGTTTTGTATTGATATTGAGATATATATGTGTATATATATATGTGTGTGTGTGTGTATATATATATATATATATATATATATATATATATATATATATATATATATATATATATATATATATATATATATATATATATATATATATATATATATATATATATATATATATATATATATATATATATATATATATATATATATATTGACCTCATATATATATAAATTGACCTCATACATAATGAAATGGGTAGCTTTATCATTTCAACAGAAAAAAATTTGAGAAAATATATTAATTCTGGAAAACTTGGCTTATTAGGCAAATCGGGCCTTGCATAGTAGGCCGAGAAGTGCGTTCTGGCTACTAGGTACGACATATATATATGTATGTATGTATGTATGTATGTATGTATGTATGTATGTCGTACCTAGTAGCCAGAACGCACTTCTCAGCCTACTATTCAAGGCTCGATTTGCCTAATAAGCCAAGTTTTCATGAAATAATTGTTTTTCGACTACCTAACCTACCTAACCTAACCTAACCTAACTTTTTCGGCTACCTAACCGAACCTAACCTATAGAGATAGGTTAGGTTAGGTTAGGTAGGGTTGGTTAGGTTCGTTCATATATCTACGTTAATTTTAACTCCAATAAAAAAAAATTGACCTCATACATAATGAAATGGGTAGCTTTATCATTTCATTAGAAAAAAATTAGAGAAAGTATATTAATTCAGGAAAACTTGGCTTATTAGGCAAATCGGGCCTTGTATAGTAGGCTGAGAAGTGCGTTCTGGCTACTAGGTACGACATAAAAAAGCCCCGAAATATATATATATCAGCCTACTATATATATATATATATATATATATATATATATATATATATATATATATATATATATATATATATATATATATATATATATATATATATATATATATATATATATATATATATATATATATATATATATATATATATATATATATATATATATATATATATACAGTGGTACCTCGCATAACGATTGCCCCAAAAGACGAATATTTTGGGTAACGAACGGCCCGATCGGCGTCAAATCGTCCCGTATGACGAACGCTGGTTTGAGTAACGTCAACACCACATGGTGGGGTCGCGCTGCTGCTTGCACATTCTTAGACGCCTCCGACGATGCACATAAATTATGTTGTTCTTGTTTAAAGATGCTAATGATGCTGGGATATAAAAGGGTGACTGCTGAGATGTTGCAAAGCATTGACGTTTTTGTAGGAAAAAAGAAATGAAATATCTGATATACAACAAATGTCAAAAAAGTTTGTTCGGTGTTCGGCAGGTAGGCTGCTCCATTATAACAATCTTTCTTTGTTTCAAATGTGTTCCATTTGTTTTTTATTTGTCATTTACATCTCAATAATGGAGCAGCCTACCTTACATACACTGAATAAACCATTATGACATTTTCCTTTCTTCAAATGTGTTCAATATTTATTTTTCATTTGTCTTATAGCAAAAGGTTCGTTCGGTGGTCGGCAGGTAGGCTGCTCCATGTTTCTTACTTACAAAAAACGTAAATAATAAAAAATATGAAGAATTTTGAAAACCAGTACAAATGTCAAAAATGTTCGTTCGGTGGTCTACAGGTCGACTGCTCCATGTTTCTTAAAAAAAAAAAAAAAACGAAAAATAAAAGAACTGTTGAAACAATTTGAAAAATGGACAAATGTCATAAAGGTTCGTTCAGTGTTTGTCGGGTAGGCTGCTCCATTATTGAGACGTAAGTGATAAATACAAAACAAATGGAACACATTTGAAACAAAGAAAGATTGTCATAATGGAGCAGCCTACCCAACAAACACTGAACGAACCTTTTGCTATAACGAATATGAAAGACAAGGGCTGCTGGCTGGGTTAGTAGTGCGTGAGCAACCATTTGTAGCACACATGCCTCTGGCTCTCAAACACCTGTCCCACACGGTGTTGAAAGACTGTACTCAGTCAGTGCAATTCAGACCCTATTGTTTGAAGAACATAAGGGTCATAACATTGGTGAAGCTAGGCGCAATAAGGGCTTAACACAACGGTCGGATGCCTGTGATACAGCACCTATGAGGATGATACAGCGAGCGTATCCAGGTGTAGCTCTGAGCCCCACCCTTGCCATCTCTAATGTATATAGATGATACATAGATGAATCGTTTTCTGCGTTCAGTGATGATGCATCTGATACAAGTAGCATAGATGAACAGTGTTAGCGGCTTCCATGGTGGTGGTGTTCATTGATATTTTTAAGAATACCTGAATCTTTTCCTGACTGATGGACACTCTTTGAGGCTAGCTGAATCTCTTCCTGACTGATGGACACTCTTTGAGGCTAGCTGAATCTCTTCCTGTGTGGGACCTTACAAAGCGATCTTTTCAAGACTACCTTACAAATTGAGCTTTTCCTATAATCGTTTCAATACTACCTTATGCTTTACAAGCTTGGCTACATACCACCTACAAGTACTAAAGCCAAGGGTGCACGCGAGTGCATTATTTGCAAGCACACAGAACGATGAAACAGGAAACAAAAATCTATCTGTAGCTGGTGCAAGGAGAGCAAAGTCGCGCTGTGTACCATGGACTACTTCGTTGACTATTACGCACCTCCAAAGTACTGAGTGTGTAATACAGTGTGTTACTGTGTAAATAGTATGTGAAACTGTACATATTGTAATATTAGTGCATTTTTACCACGTAATATTGTGACAATAAACATTTATTGTGGACACATTACTGACACATGTATCACAGTTTCATGGAAAATTATGAACATTCTACTGTATACATATTGTAAAGGTCACAAATATGCATCATATACGATAAAAGAAACAAATAAAACCGCATTGGAAATGCATAGGAAAAATATTTGAAAATATATTTGTGGCAACACGCGGTGCTTGAATGGCCTGCGCGACCGTGTCTGGGAGCTTCACACACGGGCGACCAGCCCCTGATGACGTCACAGCGCACCTTGTCCACGCCCTCACAGCCAAAGTAAGTGGAATTTGGTAATTATTTTTACATAGACATGTTCAGGGACGGTAATTTATCATTTTACAAAGAAAAATTATATTTTGGGGAACATTTGATGTCATGCACACTAGGGAAATTTCACAATAAACACAGTGCATCACACTGGTTACATGGGGGACACTCGTTTTGTATGACGTCCGTTTCACATGACGAACATGGAACGGATTAAATTCGTTATGGGAGGTACCACTGTATATATATATATATATATATGTGTGTGTGTATATCACGAAAATAAACACGTGATTAAGAATGTGACAATGTCAGACCACGGAGGAAAAATGAAACAGGAAATTTCCTTAAGTACTTTCGAATATTAAATACATCTTCAGAAGGTATTTTTCACCTTCTGAAGATGTATTTAATATACGAAAGTACTTAAGGAAATTTCCTGTTTCATTTTTCCTCCGTGGTCTGACATTGTCATATATATATATATATATATATATGAATGAAAACTCACACCCCAGAAGTGACTCGAACCCATACTCCCAGAAGCAACGCAACTGGTAACTACAGGGCGCCTTAATCCGCTTGACCATCACGGCCGTCAAAAGGAAGTGATAGCCGAGGCTATTTGAGCCACTTCCCCGACGGCAACTCGGATGGTAATCTTGGGCATAGCATTTCACCAAATCACCTCATTCTTTGGGGCACACGTGAGGAACACAAATGCGAACAAGCCTGAATGGTCCCCAGGACTATATGCGAATGAAAACTCACACCCCAGAAGTGACTCGAACCCATACTCCCAGAAGCAACGCAACTGGTAACTACAGGGCGCCTTAATCCGTTTGACCATCACGGCCGTCAAAAGGAAGTGATAGCCGAGGCTATTTGAGCCACTTCCCCGACGGCAACTCGGATGGTAATCTTGGGCATAGCATTTCACCAAATCACCTCATTCTTTGGGGCACACGTGAGGAACACAAATGCGAACAAGCCTGAATGGTCCCCAGGACTATATGCGAATGAAAACTCACACCCCAGAAGTGACTCGAACCCATACTCCCAGAAGCAACGCAACTGGTAACTACAGGGCGCCTTAATCCGCTTGACCATCACGGCCGTCAAAAGGAAGTGATAGCCGAGGCTATTTGAGCCACTTCCCCGACGGCAACTCGGATGGTAATCTTGGGCATAGCATTTCACCAAATCACCTCATTCTTTGGGGCACACGTGAGGAACACAAATGCGAACAAGCCTGAATGGTCCCCAGGACTATATGCGAATGAAAACTCACACCCCAGAAGTGACTCGAACCCATACTCCCAGAAGCAACGCAACTGGTAACTACAGGGCGCCTTAATCCGCTTGACCATCACGGCCGTCAAAAGGAAGTGATAGCCGAGGCTATTTGAGCCACTTCCCCGACGGCAACTCGGATGGTAATCTTGGGCATAGCATTTCACCAAATCACCTCATTCTTTGGGGCACACGTGAGGAACACAAATGCGAACAAGCCTGAATGGTCCCCAGGACTATATGCGAATGAAAACTCACACCCCAGAAGTGACTCGAACCCATACTCCCAGAAGCAACGCAACTGGTAAC